CAGGTTCTGAGAATGGAAGTTAGTACCAGAGCAAGCCATTTTTCCGCTCCTGCTGGCTGTCAGAACAAGGGAGCAAATGGTTTGTAACTGTCCGCTTCAATCAAATTCAGCTAAATCTTATTCCTGCAAGGACGAGTCAGCACCCCAGCAGGACATAAATGAGAACAGAGCATCTCATCTGCAGCCCTAAAGAACCTCAAGTTTGGACAGCAGCCATCTGACCCGTGGGTTTGGGTGGAGACCTGCATGTATCCAAATGTTTTCTGACCCACCAGCGCATCGTTAGAGATTATGTTTCTCAATGGCACACTGGCATTTAGGATACAACTGTCTCACACATTGGAGGATATTTAGCCAGCAGGGTTCCTCAATCCTAGTGAAAACCAAAAAATTCCTCCTCCATGTTTAAATGCTCCATTAGAAAGGTTGAATCCAAATGAGAACTGAGCCCCTCTCTTTACAGAAAAGACAACAGGCCCAGTGATTTGGCCAGGGCCAAAAGGATGGGGAAGGAAAAAAGAATTAGCGCCCAGGTTGCCCACTTCTTACCTCTTGTTACCAACTTCTCCCACCAGTGTGGTCCTTCTTTCTCCCAGCCTTAGTTATTCTCTAGGTTTCTACATTGAAACCACAGAACATTCTAGAACCAAGTGATGTAGGCTCATCTTTGGTCCCCAAAGGCTTATCTAAAGCTGTCCTAGCTCAGGCTACTATAACAAAAATACTGTAGACGGAGTGGCTTAAACAACAGACGTTTACTTCCTACAGTTCTGGAAGCTGGAAGTCTTAAGACCATGATCAAGATTAATCTGGATATGAATTCCTTATATTTTCATTTATGGTACCTTCTGATGATATTTGTGCAGTTGATTTACCAATGTTTTCTTCTTTAATGGGTAATTTTTGTGTCTTTTTAAACAATTCTTTAAATAAATTCCAAGATTATAAAAATATTCTAAATTTCTTCTAAAAGTTCGAAAGGTTTTATACTTTTGCCTTCTATATTAAAATTCTATTCCATCAAAAATTAATTTTTGTATATTAGAGAATAAGGAGCTTCTTTAACTTTTTTCTATGTGATAACTGATGCTCTCAGTACCATGTATTGAATGAGCCACTCATGATCTACAACACAACATCCTTCACTGAGCAAATATATATATATTTACTATATATATTTTTATAATATATAGCAAATATATATAAATATATATTTATATATTTTATATATAATAAACATAAAATGTTTTATATATATTTATATTTTATATATAATAAACATAAAATAAATTTTATTTCTCTCTATATAAGCATATATTTTATATAGAGAGAAATATATATTTTTTGTTTATATATATAGAAATAAAATAACATAAACTTTTTTGTTTTTATGTATAGAAATAAAATAACATAAACTTTTTTGTTTTTATATATAGAAATAAAATATATTTGAAATACATATAGAAATAAAATATAAACATATATTTTATATATGCTTATATTTATAAAAGTATATTTTGTATATGTCGATATATATTTATAAAAATATATTTTATATATGTTTATATATATAGCAAATATATATATATATATATATATACACACACACACATACACACACGCACACACATACATACACACACACACACAGATTTGGGGGCTGCTTAGTCTGTTCCATTGGTCAATTTGATTATCCTGACCTTAAAACCATACCGTTTTAATTACTTTAGCTTTTTAATAAGACTTGCAATATAGAAAAGCACATTCCTTAATCCTGTTTGTCTTCAGAATGTCTTAGCTCTTCTTGAACATTTGCTTTTCTATTTAATGCAATAATAACATGTCACTAAAATTATTGAAATTCTTATTTGCAGAAAAATTTTAGACTACTGTTTTAACTTATTTAATGATTATAAGGCTATTTAGGTTTTCCATTTGCTCTTCAATCACTTTAATAAGTTATATTTTTCTGGGCATTCTAAATTGTTTTCGATGTATAGACATAACGTAGTGTAGATTATTCTTACTATCTTTTGGTACTTAAAATATTTTTTAAACTTGTCTTTTTAAAATCTTAAAATTTAATGTTGCCTATCTGTAGATATGTTCCTTTATTCATACCTATTCATATCTTCTCTTTTCTTAATCTTACTAATCTATTTTTAATAGTCTTTTTAAAGAACTTTTGATTTGGTAGTTCTCTATTTTATCTTTAATTCCTATTATACTAATTTATGCCCCTTACTATATTATATTCTTTCTTTTACTTTTTCTTTGTGTTGTGTTCCAAAGCAAATTCAGTTGATTCAATGATTTCCCCACCACCAATTTAGGATTTGGTTTTCTTAGCTCTTATAACTCTGTCATCAGTTCTTCATTTGCCTTCCATTTTCCAGAAGTTTGTTTCTGTTGTCTCATCTCTTATTTTGCTCATCCTTGTGGGTTTACATGATTGTTTAAAATCCCTTTGCTATAATTTTAACAGGTTTGTGGAAGGGAGTAAAATTAGATGTGTGTGTTCAATCTATTATCTTTATTTGAAACCTATAATGATTATTGATCCTTCTTTCGTATTTATCATCTTATTTTCCTGTGCTATATTCTGTTTAATTTCTTCAACACTATTTTCCACTTCACTAATTCCTTCTTCTGCTGTTTTAATAACATTTTTCATTTCTAAAAGTTATGTTTAAGTCTTTTTCAAATCTTCCATTTCATTTTTTATAGTCTATCATTGCATGCTTATTCTTTTATATGCAATGGTATTATATTTTAGTGACTTTATATTTTTTGAATGAATTTTATAATAACTATTATACATTTCATATATTATCATTCCACTATTTAAAGTTCTTAGAGGTTGAAATATAGCACACCTCATCTCTTCTGCCTCTTCCTTATAGTGGATTCTTTCTTGTGTGTTTGATTATATTTCATTGATTATATTTTATTTAGTGCTCATATATTGTTGCTTAATCCATGGAAATCTAAGGACCCAAATTGAGGAAGATTTTCTCTAGAGAGGAGATTTGTTTTTGTTGAGAGCCAAAGGGTTACCCACCTATAAAATCTTTAGCCCACCGCTGGGATCCCAGGCTTAATCTCTCCATCTTATTAGCTGGCTTTTGATTGTTTTAACATCAGCTGGCCAGCAGGGCAACCCTGCCTTTCACCTATGCTTGGCACTTATTGCTGTGTGTTCAGGTCTTTTTGGGGGGTGAAGGTGGTAGTGCAAGTTTAGTACATAACTTCTTGCCAGGCTGGGAAGAAAATTAAAAGTATGCTTTGTCAGGTTGTCTTTATTTTACAGTATGAAACATTTCATATTTCATTCCTCATAGTACCAGAAGTTCTCTTTAATACTTTCATACTGAATTCTGCTAACATGGGCCCCTCCAGGCATTAGCATTTCTTTCCTTCATATTTTATTTCTTTTGGCCTTTCTCGGAGTCCATGGCATCTTGAGTGTGCCAATTTTCCCACGATAAGAAAAGCTCTCAAATTTTTTTTTAATGTTCTTTGACTTCTGTTTTACTTTTCCCAGAGAATAACTTATAACCCTGAGCTCTGCATTATGGTCACCCCTTGCTCCCTGTGGCTATTAAGTTAAAATTAATGAAAACTAACTAGAATTAAAAACTCAGTTCTCAGTGAAAAAAAATCTCAAAAGCAGAATACAAGTGATTCAGTTCAGCAATTGATGAATTCCTTCAAGGCTAATTGCTCACTTCAGTCCAGTCACCCACAGTGGAGTGGGAAGGGGCATCTGGTATAGGTCATAGCACACTAGGGGCTGGGTGGCTGGCGTGGCTAAATGCCTTAAAGGTGGGAGGGACACAGCGGTAGGCATTTTTGATATCCTCCGTGACCTCATTTGGATTTTAAGACAATCCTTGACATAAACATTATTCCTGTTTTTGATCTCTTTTAAGAAATGAAGAAACTGAAAATCTGAGAAATGAAATTAATTACCCAAAGCTACACAGATACCAAGTAGAAAAGTCAGGTTTCTTTTCCAATAAGCTGGGATTATTCAAATTTCAGGTGATTTGGGACCAGGCATCCAGAGTTCCAGTTTTCCCTGTCCTAAGGTGTCGGATGATGCTTTAAGAGCCACTGCTCCCCCATGAGATTCCTGCTCCACTCACGGCACAGAGCTATTGTCAGGAGGGAAAGCGCTCCAGAATGCACAAATATTGTACACATATGAGGACTGTGGTCCCCATTTTAAAGGCTAAAAAAAGACCCACTGAATCAAGACTGTGAGCAGGCTGTCAGAAGCTTTTTGGCCTCAGGAATGTCCCCAGCCAGTGCTTCTCATCGTCTCCCCGGGAGCTGGGCCTGGAAGGCTCTGGAGCTGTCCTTCTGCCACACTAGTGTGCTTCTCTTCTGCCCTGTATCCACCTCAGAACCTGGGATGTGGGTCCAGCAGACCTGGGTCTGAATCGCTGTTCTGCCTCTCCTACCGTTGTGCCTATGATGGGGTGGATCATCCCCGTGTCTCATTTCCTTTCTGTATAACATGTGGGTAATAAAAAATAGCCCCTGCCTTACAGGTTTGCCATGAGGATCAAATTAAAAAGCATGTAAGATGCAGGAAAATGCCTGGCATATGAGAGAGTCACAGTAAATGGAAGATAATGTTTTCCCCTCATCTCTCTCATAGTGAGGTACAGTTAAAAGGTAATTTCAAGTGTATTTCCTTAGTTAATCTCCTGTGCTGTCCTGTATCGTTATTCTCATATTACAGATGAGGATACTGAGGCACAGAGAGATTGAGCTGACTGGCTTAAGGTCACATGGCTAGTAAGTGGCAGAGTGGGGACTTGAAGCAATGTGTTCTGATTGCAGATCCTAAACTCTTGTCACCCGTATCTACTCTTACCTTTCAGCTGTTAAACACCCTTTTGGTCTCTGACAATAAAAAACCCTTCCGAAGAAAAGATAAATTGCCACATTGTGTTAACAGCAAAAAACAAAACAAAAAAAATCACCACCTAGCTATTTAAAAATGGAGGATAAACAATGGTACAGCCATAAAATACCGTATTAGGCAGCAACTAAGTATTATATACAAAAGACAATGAAGATTATTCACAATGCAGTAATTAAAAAGAACTGACTAAAAATATAGTGTAATTTTGTCTTATTTTCATAAATGAAAAGACATTGACATATTAATAGATACCAACATATTAATAAATAGTACAAATAAGGATTATATTGATCATTTTGTTTATGCTAATCTGTAGTTTCTAACTTTAAGAGCTTTTAAATTTAAAAGCAGAAAACATTGGAATATAACTATTCAAACTGAAACCAACTTAAAGTATATTTAGTTCTTTTAAGGGAATTTCCTCTTGACAGGGTCCAAAGCATATTGTTTTATAGTGGAGTCCATATTGGCTCTGAGGAACGGAGCTTGCATTTCATTAAGCATCTCTGGTCCTGGACACTTTATACCAGTAGCCTCTACACACAGACACACACACACACACACACACACACACACACACACACACACCCCACGTTTCCAGGTGCTTCTTGGGTGGCAAAGTGGAAAGCAGCCTGTCTATGCATGCGAAGCACTGAGCTGCCTCGACTGAAATATCTGCTACCATTGAACAGTGAGCGAGTGGCCAGTACCTAAATTCCCAAGGGACACGTTTCTGGAATGGAATTTTCATTGCTCTGCCTGCAGTAACAGTACAATTTCCCGGCTGTTGTTCTGTGGGGGGCCCGGACCTGAAGGACACTGGTCTGGTGTCTTACCTCTTACCCAGAGATGCTGTCTTTATCGTCCAAACTTCCCTTAGAGACAGTCAAACTGCAGAAGTGAAAATTCTGAGGACACTATCACCCAGGCCCACTGAGGGCTCCCTTAGCCCCCCTCCCATACTTTCTGCCCACCCAGCCTCAGTATCTGCCCAGGAGCACTCACTGCTAACTCCCCTCCTGGCCATTGAGTCCGGCTGCCTTGCACTATCATTTATTGTCTTTATGAATGGTTCTAAGTGCCTCTTCATAAACCACTCCAGAGTGTATATATCATGGATGTATCTACATCTTAGATATAGAGCATTGCTATGGGAGTTACTGTTAGTAGTTTTTGGCTGTGATTCTTCCTAGTCCTGACTCCACACCAAGGAATTCTGGAATTTCAGAGCCATGTACTTGGTTTTTCATATTAAAACTTTGATTGCAGGGACCAATGTTAAGTTTTAGGTCATTATTCTGAAAGAAAAATGAAAAAAGTGATCACTATCTTTTCTCTTCTCTGATCCCTCACGCCCTCACATCAATCCCATGTCCTCCTCTTTGTGGAGCCCAGGGAATTCCTTCCTTTTTCCTCTTCTCTCCTGACATGTGTCTGTCCACTCATCAGGTGTTAGATGTGCAATACTGACATGTTTTCCCTGGATGCAGCCCCAGAACCCAGACCCGTCTTTCCACCCCTCATTCCTAGCAGTTCAGGCATGTTCTGGCTCCTTTAATCTCAGGCTGAAGTCATTAACACCCCTCCCTTCCAAGAAATACATCTTTTGTGTATTTCCCAGTTTTACATGGTAGGTAGTTTCTTAGTAAACCTTGAGCAGAGTTCATAGAGAAAACCAACATGCCTTTTTCATTTGAGCTTTGGACTTTCTGGAAAGCCAAGGACCTTCTAACAGTGATTTCTGCCTTTGTTTCATAGTTTGGAATTTTCCAAGTTGCTACTCAAAACCATTTCATTCTTCCTGGATTCTTTTTCTACAATGAGGCGCACACTGGTTATGGCTTTGCAGCATATAAACCTAGACTTGCCATTAAGAGTAACTGAAATGAATGAGAATTTAGCAAATTGTGCCTATTTTTTATAAATCTCTGTTTTAAAACAAGTAAGTAGCATAAAAACTAGTAGTACGAAACAAGGCAGAATATAAGCACTCAGGTTAGATGTCTTTTTCCAAAATCTTGCATTGTTACCTCTCACAAGGGCAGTCTACCATTAGATAAACTAATTATGCTGCTTCAATAGATCTGAGAAAGCAAACTCCCTGGCTCCTGACTTTCCTCCAACTTTTCTGTCAATGAATTGGAAGAGAAAGAATAGACATTAATAAAGGGTAGATCCGACATCTAACCTCATTAAACATGCTGGTCTGGATAAATTAGAACTGAAGAGAATGGGATCATGTAGATACATCAACTACGCACAGGCAGTGACCTCCTAAGACTTCAAAGACCAGCACAGGTAACAAAGAACCAGAGGCAGCAGGTTGCAATCCTTGCAATCCTAAATTTTATTTTATTGAGACAGGGTCTCATTTTTTTGCCCAGGTTGGAGTGCAGAGGCATGATCATGGCTACCTGCATCCTTCACCTCCCAGGTTTAAGCCATCCTCCCACCTCAGGCTCATGAGTAACTGGGGCTATGGGCCTGCACCACCATACCTGGCTAAGGTTTTTATTTTTGTTTTTAGTAGAGATGAGATTTCCCTATATTTCCCTGGCTGGTTTTGATCAAATGGGCTCAAGAGATCCTACTGCATCAGCCTCCCAAAGTGCTGGGATTACAGGTGGGAGCCATCGCACCAGCCTGCCATCCTGAATTTTAAAATGCAGAAGGTGAACTTACAAACTTGGCAGCAAAAGCAGGCAAGGAGCTAGGAGGGACCCTGGACACCATCGTCCCAATAGAGCTGGGGTTAGTGATCATGTGATATTCCACCTACAAAGGAGAAATACCCTGCAAGTTTTCACTGACTGTAGTGCTCCACATGTGTCACCAGTGGGATGCAGCTGCCCAGAGCAAATGTGATATTCAGCTGCATTCATGGAACTCTTATGTTTCCAAAAGATAGCACAATGACCTCCCTGGACTTTGCATAACTGACTACATCTAGAATACTGAGTCATCTCCACTGATAATGGTAGTGATGATTTTCAGAACCATTTTGTATAAAGAAGAGTTGCATGTGACATTTATCCTGGGCAACAGGGTCTGCACTTTGATTTTGGTTTTTTTAATCACAAACATTGCAGGGCCCGGAGAGACAGAGGCTGTGCCCTTTATTCTTAATCAAACACTACATCAAAGAATGTTCAGTGTTTTCCCTGCTGCTTTACTCCTGTGCCTCAAAATAGGACTTTTCAACTGCCTGGATAGTTCTGGGCCCTTGGGCCATTGTGGCTTGCTGGGTTTGGGCACTGTGACAGAGGCAGGGCATGTCTCATGAAGAAACCTCTGTGAGCTCAGCCAGTCAGCCAAGTGAAGGAGGACCAGTGCCCCCCTGCACTGGCACCCTGTTTTTCAGTTCAATTGAAGGCAGATTTCCTAACAATCAGGGCTGGTTTAAAACAAAAAGGGCTGCCCTGGGAAGGAGTGAGCTCTTCATTTTTGGCAGTGCCCAAGCAGCGTGTAGGTGACCCACTGAATACTGCTGTGGATTAAGGAAAGGCTCGGCAGGGACGATGCTGGGCGTGCCTCCAAACCCGACTCTGCTCCTATGCTTAGACCACCCATCTCTTCTGATGATAAGACTCTCCAAATACCATGCGTCTCCTCATTTGGAGTTAGTAGCCCCCTAAAAACTATAGTTATAGAATTCTGAATCCATTTTAAAATAAAATGGATTATTTACCTCTTATCTCCTTCCATCACCACCAGTGCAGCCTCCAGTCACTCAGCTCTGACCACTTGAATCTATAAGAAGAGAAGGAGTACATTATTTTGTTTTTCTAGCTTTCCTGGTCCATTAGAAGGGCACCACAGTGTTCCCTCTTTAATCCCTTTAGCTTTTTTGGCAAAGCAGTGGGAAAAAAACACCGTATGAGGACTGTGAACAGATCACAAGGGGAGCCAACTTGTGACTATTCTTCCCCACTCACCTGCTTCCCAGTCGGCTCAGTCCAAATCCTTTTGAAGCAAGAGCATGAATTGCTGCTAATTTAGGGCAATTACAGGATTTACAGATTAAACCTATCCCCACTGGTTTCCCTAGCAACCATTTCTGAATCACAGGATGAGATAAAACTATTGTTCTAGTTAATAGAGTCTGATATTAAGGGAAGTCCAGCCATGTGATTCACAGAGGTATGCACCCTGGTGGGAGCAGAAAGAATGAGAGGCAGGGAGGCAGCAGACCTATGTGCCGGTTCCCGTCCACTGGGGTCAGATTCACAACAGGAACATATCTCAAGACGCTGGTGACAGTGCCCCCGGCAAAGAAAAGGGTTCTGAGCGCTGCCAGGGAAAGAAAGATGCAGGTGTTTCTAAATGAGTGAAAACATTAGGCACAGAACAATTGAAGGCAAGGGGTCTACTTGGACAAAGCCGAGACACAGTGAGGTCAGGTGCAGAGCCCACTCCTCCAGCTGCCAGACCGGCAATCGAGCCGCCTTGGGCAACGCACATCATTATTCGGCCAAGACCTGGGTGGGGTCTGGGAAGGTCAGCCGGCAGGAGGGGCATGCAATTTTGGCTTTTTTTTTTTTTTTTTTTTGGAGTTTCACTCTTGTTACCCAGGCTGGAGTGCAATGGCACGATCTCGGCTCACCGCAACCTCCGCCTCCTGGGTTCAGGCAATTCTCCTGCCTCAGCCTCCTGAGTAGCTGGGATTACAGGCACGCGCCACCACGCCTAGCTATTGTTTTGTATTTTTTACATGCATAATAAGATGCTTGGATTACATTTTAAAACCCATTTCAACTCTTGGGTAGTAGAGCTTCTCTAGTTCTGAACCAATTGAGAAATAGTGGTATTTCAGCCAAATACAGATGAAGAGAGCAGCTTTATTGGCTGTTAAGTAGGAGTCCTGAAAAGGGACCTGCAACCAGATGACCTTTAAAATGATACAAACTCAGCTGAGTCTGGACCTACACGCGAGGAGAACTGAGTCTGTGGTGCAGAAACATGGAGGTCAGACGCGTGCCTCAAATCCATGAATTCTGGAGAGCAACAAGAGAGACATCGGCCTCCAGATCTCGAGCTGGGATTCAACTGTTCTTCCCATATGAAAGCAGAAGGAACGAAAAAAAAAGTCTCACCCTGTGTGCAGTCAGCCTAAAAAAGAGAGCCCATGTTTAGGACTCTTCTCCAACCTCACCAAGAAGAGAATTGATTCTTTCCCTTGGGAAAAAGTAAAAGAGGGAGGGGCAGGAAATAATTTCCCAATCCGCCAGAGGGCAGAAGAAGAGATGTTTTCCTCTAACACAGGGAGGAGGGTGTCTAATGGAATACCAAAGGCGTGTAGCTGGCCCATGGTAAACACTCCTTACTTGCCTTTGCTTCCCAGAAAACACAAGTCTAACTACCTACACCTCTGTGTGCAGAGTCTGCAGCTCCCAGCAGACATAACAAACACATTACTTCGAAGGGCACATTTTGTGTGCAGTCTCACATCTGGAAAGTGGCCAGACTCTGCCAGTTTAGACAATTCACTTTTAAATTCTAAATTTACAACATTTGCTTCCCGCCTACCCATTTCCCCTCCTCCTCAAAGTTGGAGATTTGTTATATTTAAAGGAACTCTAGTATGTGTTTGCCTATTCCTTGAGGGTTTGAGTCTAGGGGTCATTCACACCTGATTTATTCTTTGCTCTCTGTCCTTAGCAAGAAATGGGAGTTTGGTGTTCTAGCATGGTTGGGGGAAGGTGGAATTTTGAAACCTGTGGACACTCTGGGCAGGAGAGATAATAGGCTGCTTCTCCTCACCCCTCCCCAGGCCAGCTCCAGTCTGACATATCCGAAAGAGCAGCAGAAAAGAGCCAGGGGACTGGGATCCACAACTAACTTGTGGATCCTCAACCGATATGTGAGCTTGGCCTCTAGACTTCCAGTCTCCGGCTGCAGTTTCCTGCAGTGTAGCACAAGCAGGTTAGAACTGATGAATGTCAAGTTTCCTCTGAGTTTTCAATCTAGGTTATTCAATTCCGTATCTACTAGTGAAAGAAACTTCTAGGAAAAACTGTTTTCTCTGATAATTTTTTCTGCTTATTTGGCAAATGTTTATACCGTGCTTACAAGTAACTACTGTATACTGTCCTAAGCACTTTATGTACATAAACTTATCCAATCCTCCCAATAGATCCATGTGGTATTAGAGCAGTGATATTATCTGGTTATAGGTAAGAGGACAGAAGCATGTGGTGATTAGCTCAAGGTCCCACAGCTTGTAAAAGTGAAGTCAAGTTGAATGTAGGCAGTCTGGGTCCAGAGTCTATGTCCTTACCTTGAAAGTATAGTCAGTCCTCTGTATCTGCAGGTTCTGCAACCAACTGTGGATTGAAAATATCCTAAAAAAAAATATATATATATATATAACAATACAACAATAAAAATGATACAAATGAAAAATGTCATGTAACAACTATTCCCATGGTATTTATATTGTATTAGGTATTACAGGCAATCTAGAGATGAAAGTATACGGGAGGAAGTACATAGGTTACATGCAAATCCTATGCCATTTTACATAAGGGACTTGAGCATCTGTGGATTTTGACATCCGCAAGGGTCCTAGAGCCACTCTCCTACAGGTACTGAAGGACGACTAGAATTTGTTTTTAATCTAATCAACATAGAATTGTGTATCTGATCAAGTATTCCTCTTTAAATTGACAACCCAGTTACTTCTCAACTTTATTGAGCGTACAAGCCCTGGGTGTGTATTTTAGATACTAGGTTCAGCTTTCAGCTTTATTCTGCCTGCCTGTTTTTCTTTCATTCTTCGCCCCGCCAGATAGTTTTCCTGTCTATAACTCTTTAAAGTTCACCAAAACATCCTTTTTGGAAGATGATAAGACATTTAAAAAGTAATATTAAAAATAAATTTAAAGATGGGAATCCTCCTAAGTTGTTTGCTGTATCCCCCAGTGCCTGTGCTGGACTTTTACAGAATTTGGGAGAGAAAGTAGGGATAAGAGGAGCAGTTCTATCTTAGGATGAACTAGGTACACATTCTCAACAAGGATAGCAGTGCTGCTCGGGAGGGTTGAAAAATTTTTTGGGCGTGAAGTAATTGATTGTCACAATGATAGTGGGAGGAGGTGCTATTGGGATTTAGTGGGCAAGGGAGAAATCTGAAAATGTCCTACAATGCAGGAGATAGTCCTAAACAAATTTCAAACACTCCACTAGAAATTTATGTAGGTAAAAAATTTTAGTTACCTGAGCCTTGGTCCTAAACTACATCTTACATGTTTTTTTTAAAGGATATTTTGCATGGTTTTAAAATATACTGAATTTTCCAGGAATGCCACTCCCATGTAAATCGAGGGAAGATTGTACTTTGTTTGTTTCGGAACTTTATCAAGAATTGTTCAGCACTTCGAAATATTCCTTCATCAATGACAACGCAGCTTCTGGTATTTGAGTCAACAAGGCAGCACACCTTTATCAGCTTTGCATTTGCAGTTGTCAGTTACATTGATTGTACTTGTATATGCACACAAATATACTCGTTTAGCCTCTATCTCAAAATGTTACATATAAGGAAAAAGTGTCAACAATAAACATTCTTTCAGTATTGGCTTACTTCTCTTACATCCATATTTACTCAAGTAGTGGAAAACACCTGCCAGCTTGGTCACATCTCTAGTATAGTCATGCCTGAACGTTTCCAGGTTGAAAAACATATTATTTTGTTACAAATTACTTTTTACTTATTTATCCTCCATGTAACAGGATATTGTATTGTTTCCTAAAAATTTACATTATCTATAACTTTTTTAGGATAGCAAGAGGAATATTGCAAATATATGTCTTTAATATGGTAGTGTTGCATCTGATAGGTTGAGAGCCACTGGCTAAGCTTTCAAAAGTGCATGTTCCTAGCACGTGTAATGACCTTCTTCAACTGTATGATTCCCAGCTTAATACAGTAATTTGAGAAGTACCAAGGCAGTGCAGAATTGCAGGGCCAAGATCAGAAAGACAATTTCCAACAAATTTGGATCATAGTGGAAATAAGCTAAAAATCAATTTTTACAAAGGTAACTGTAAAATACCCATATGCTTGGAAGTTTTAAAACTACCTGTAAATTTCCAAAAAATCCTGACAATTAAGATTTTAAAATAGTTTAATTGAATGTAAACACTGATAATATCAAAACTTGTGGGATATAGCTAAACTATACTTACAATAAAATTTACAGCCTGAAATGTATGTTATGAAAGAAAGTGGAAATCAATGGCTTAAGTATACCACTTAAGATTTTAGAAAAGGCAAGGCAAATTAGATAAAAAAGAAGAAGGAGGTAAAAAATTAAAGCAGAAAAAAGTTAATGAAATATAATACAAATTGTAATAAAGAGAATTTTTGTTTGTTCAAAAGTTTGTTCATTACAAAGTATAATAAGGCCAGGCGCAGTGGCTCACACCTGTAATCCCAGCACATTGGGAGGTTGAGGTGGGTGGATCCCCTAAGGTTGGGAGTTTGAGTTCTCCAACATGGAGAAACCCTATCTCTACTAAAAATACAAAATTAGCCAGACGTGGTGGTGCATGGCTGTAATCCCAGCTACTCGGGAGGCTGAGGCAGAATCGCTTGAACCTGGGAGGTGGAGGTTGCAGTGAGCCGAGATCCTGCCATTGCACTCCAGCCTGGGCAACAAGAGCAAAACTCCGTCTCAAAAAAAAAAAAAAGTACAACAAGACTGATAAGTTGGCAAGAATGATCAAGAAAAAGAAAAGAGATCAAAAGCAAGAGTAGGAACAAGCAAGCAAGAGAGTAAGAGCAAATTACAATTACGAAAAATAAAAAGGGTCAGACACAGTGGTTCACACCTGTGATCGCAACACTGTGGGAGGCGAAAACAGGAGGATCACTTGCACTCAGGAGTTTGAGACCAGCCTGGCAATATAGTGAGATGTCATTTCTATAAAAAATAAAAATATCCAGGCATGGTGGCACTCACTTGTAGTCCCAACTACTCAGGAGGCTGAGGTAGGAAGGTTGCCTGAGCCTGAGAGGTCGGGACTGCAGTGAGCTCTGGTCCTACCACGGCACTTCAGCCTGGGTTACAGAGTGAGATCCTGTCTCAAAAATAAAATAAAATAAAATAAAAGGGGATATTATCACAGACTACAAAGTTTCATCACAGATGGACAAAGTCAATAAGAGGATAACAAGAACAATTCTATGCCAATAAACTTGAATTTTTACATGTTATGGACAAATTCCTTAAAAAGCACAACTTACTAAAATTGATACAAGAAGAAATCAAATATATGAATAATCTCTGAATATTTTTTAAATTTTATATTCAATTTTTTCCCACATTGAAAAGTTGGGCTTTACTGGTAAATTTTTATCCAACATATGAGAAAGAAATAGGACAATTACATAGACTATTCTAGAGAATAAAGAAAAGGGAAATTTCCCAATTTGTTTTATAATTTTGACACCATCAATTTGATGCCAAAAAAAATTACAGTCCAATATTACTTACAAAAATAGATGCAAATATCCTAAAAGGAATGTTAGCAAACTCAATACAGCAATATATAAAAAGTGCAATTGATTGAAAATAAGTTGGATAATTTCTAGAAATGCAAGACAAGTTTAACATTGGAAAAGCCAGGCAGGGTAATTCAACATATTAATATCATGAAATATAAAAATCGCAGGCCTCTCAATAGGTTAAAAATATTTAATTGAATTAAACATCTATTCATGAAAAAAGACTCTTTAAGAACTAGGAAGATAATTTCTTTAATTTCATCAGGGCCATATAAAAAGTCAGCATGATAATAAATGGTGAAATGTTTAATGCTTTCTCTCTGTGACTAGGAACAAGAGAAGTATGCCCAGAATCACCACTTCTTTGCAGCATTCTAATGGAAATCCTAACAATTACAACAATAACAGAAATTAAACCTAGGGTATAAGGAGTAGAAAGAAATAAAACTATGATTGTTTGCAAATGTTATTTGTATATGCAAAGAAAATCCATAATAATTGAAAGTATCATAAATAAGTGAGCCTTGCAAGATTGCTAGACACAAGGTCAAGCTATGAAATCAATACCAGCATTAAAAATTAGAAAATAAAAATTTAGAGCAATCATTTCACAGTAGCAACAAAACTACCAAATACTTTTGAATAAATCTCACAAAATACATATAAGACCTCTGCACAGAAAATGACATATATTGAGAGAAATTACTAAGACCTACATAAATAGAGAAATATCCCATCTTGGTAGATTGAAGAAAACGCCATGAAACATAAACTCTAATATAAGCAATCCCCATTAAAATCACAGCAGTGTAGTTTAATAAAAAATTATGAGCGGCTTGTAAAATGTATACAGAAATACAAAGGACCATAAATAGCCTAACGCATAAGGACTTATTCCACCAGATATCAAGACTTCTAGATAATTAAGCTACAGTAATTAAGACAGTGTGATATTGATGTCAGGGTAGACAAATAGACTACAGAAAAGAGTCCTCAAACAGATCCACACATCCTTGGACATTCCATCTTGCAAGCTAGCACTGTACAGCAGTAGAGAAAGAATCATTCAGTAAATAGTGCTCAGTCTATTGAGTAACTGTCTGGGGAGAAAAAGAGAAACTTGATCATTATGTCACAGCACACATAAAAATCAATTCTCAACATATGGTAGTTCCAAATGCAAAGGGTAAAATAATAAAGCTTCCATAAGATAAAATAAGAAAATCTCTTCATGATGTGAGGCAAGAGAAAAAATTGATTAAATGACACAAAGATCACTAACAATAGAGGAAAATGTTGATAAATTGAATTACATTACATTAAATTCAGGGTGTTTGTTCATTAAAAGACATTATTAAAAGAGGGGGGGAAAGCCAGAGTAGAAGATATTTGCAACACATGTAAACGTGAGCAACTTGTGTCCAAAACACATGAAAAACTTGTACAAACTGATAAGAAAAATAGAGGCAATTCAAGATGCCTCTTGTAGAAAAAGAGGAAACCAAATAGCAAATATACCTATGAAAGGTACTCAACCTCATTAGTAATGAAGAAAATACAAATTGAAATAAACACTTACCCTGTGATCCAGCAATTCCATCCCTAGGCCTATACCAACAGAAATGTAAACACATGTGGACAAAAAGATATTTAAAGAGTGTTGATAACAGCCTTATTTGTAATGGCCCCCAAATGGAAGCAACTCAAATGTCCATTCATAGTAGAAATTGTGGTATACTCATTTCGTGAAATATCATACAGCAGTTATGGTGAATAAAACTATACAATGCAAACAGATTTTACAAACATTATTTTGAGCACAGCAAATTCAACAT